AACAAAAAAAAATAGTTGCTTGGGATTTGAACCGCCGAACTTACGTACCAACGGTGGCGAACGGTAAGGCCACGAGACCAAACTAGCATATATGATGACAAACTTAAATTTGATGTTGGTTTTATCTAACTAATATCTGTCATCCGCGTCGAACACTTTTAGTAAATTTTGAAAAATGGTTTGATGCAAAATGTCAAATGAATGTAACAGAAGTAGTTTATTCCAAATTGTATCACAAGTATATAGAGATAGAGTTCAATTTTGTCAAATGTACCGATATTTTTGCGCACCTTGACTGCTTCGTTACTTATGACGCTGTGGCTGCTACGATATTTATGAGCATCTTGCATGTACTCATATATTTGACGCTGTGCATGTACCGATGTATTTGAGCAGGGTGAATGTATCTATTATTTTGAGGACTTTTGTTGTACCGATATAATTGATTACTTTTGGTATACCTATATATTTGCATGTCTTGTCTGTGACGATCTATATGACGCTGACTGTACAATAAAAGAGTTTGTAAAATCTATGACCAATATAACTACGGTGTATAAATTAAAAAGATTATAGTTTCATATCTAAGGCAATTTAGATGAATACAATCGCAGTTACATTAAAGGCATAGAAATTGAAAAACTTCATACATGTAAGCCTAGTTTATTTTTTAAATTGTATTACATAAATATAAAACTTCTATATATCCATACTTTTCTTTTGTGATAACTCAAAACTCAAACTATATATCTACCCAAAACGAATTTAAACATATTACACCCAAAATACAGCGAGAATTCCCAAGTTTATAGTTTCTTAGCAATAAGTTTTATTTTGATATTCGTCGACAAAAATATTTTAGTCATGCTCAATGTTTTAAGAAAAATGAGATGGTACATTTTATAGGATTTCTTTTTACACTTGACATTTTCATTCTTACTGCACTTCCACTGCGGAAAAAACTAAAATAACTATCGTATTACATTTCTCTTTATGTTAAAATATGAAATTTCATCAGTTTAGGCAGTGCTCACTCGAGGTAAAAAAGCAAGATGTAAATGATTGATTTTAACCAAATCATTTAAAATCTTTCCACATACATATTTAAATAAAATAATCTCATATCTTTGTTAATTGATATAAAGAAATAACAATTATTACTGTTTTACTGATCATACAAAGTCCTAAAAATTACGAATCGAAAGTTATTGCCGTATATGTTAAATATTGGTGATTCATTTTGAAAATATAATTAAGGGAACTAACGTAAGAACACCAAGCATGGCGCGTGTACGCATTAAGCAAATGCTGACTTGGTTGCGGGCAGCCGCGGATTGCGCACTGAAACTATCTACAAGAAATTGGTTGTTCCAAGATTCAAAACGCAAACTCTAAACGTAGCAAATGCCCACGTGATCTATACAAAACAGGCGGTCGCGACCGTTCTACAACCGCTTAATGCGTAGGGGCCTTTAAATTTAAACTATCGTAAATTGAATGCCTAGCTTAGCTATCGAGACTTCTAAATATTTATACATGATACAAAATATTTTATTGCATATTACTAAATTGAATTTGTTCTTTACTAAATGTAAAAATGTAATGACTTAAAAATGCCCTGAAATTTACCATAAGTACTTCAATTTCTTAGTAGTAGCATTTTTCAATGAAATTATTATACACTCTAGCAAGATCACTTTTACATCTCTTCTACAGTCTATTTATATTTTCGGAATATAGAAGAGATATATTTACTATTTTGACAACAAATCTATAATTTTATTGTTACTGTATTGATTCATATACCCTAAAACATTTTAAATTTAAACATGTACATTGCTCAATATATTATGTGCATTAGTGGAATATCCACTGAGGTAAGCCTTTTCAAGGCATACTAAAACTAACACTCTTAAAGCATCTTGCATTTAGCTGCTTATGTGCTGGATAAAATGATGCAGTTTGAAAACATTGCGTAAAAGCAATGCATCATTTTATTCAGCACAATTCACCACAATTGCACATACAGCCTCATGGTACCTTTAAATTAGTAATTATTATGAACACTTAATTTAACACATCTATCAATAATATCCATCAAAGAAACAAACGTCACATGAATATGAAATATAAAAAACAAGAATAAAAGTGAGTAAAGTTGTACAAAAGTATTTCAAAAGAAATTTGCTTGAAAATCAAACAAGTAACATCACCTTACATTCATCTTATATCAAAAATTACATAAATTAACACATCAAACAATAATATTATCGTCATTCATTTGAAGGTACCATAAAGGTTTTTAGAAATATATTTCACTTGCAGCAACCACAATAGCCGTGCACAAACTTAATTATGTTTAAATCACTTTTACTTAAGTAGAAGCACAGTTCGTAAGCATTGCATTTTATTAAGATATAATACACCCATTCTTTTCTTGTATATGACCATCTGATCTTTCGATTTCTGACAACATTGCATGGAACATATCAGTAACAGACTGAAATAGAAAAATTAATTAAAAAAATATATTCATAAACTGACTTATATTATGTTTTTATCTATCGTATATTGATGTTACCTCATTTCGTTTCGCACTTGTTTCAACAAATGCTGCTTTCCATTTTTCAGCAAGCCTTTTACCCTCTTCTGTACTTATCTTTCTTTCTAAATGAAGATCTGTTTTATTTCCAACTAGCACTATAGGTACACTAGAATTTACAGAAAACAATCACTATTAAAACCACTGTATAATTTCAAACATTTTTGTAAATTAGAAAGGTAAGGTTTGTGAAACCTGGTATGTCCCATTTCTTTTGAATTTTGTGTTAAAATTCACTAATGATAATTAATATTAATACTAATAAATTGATATTTTATTTCAATGTTTGTAACCAGATAATACCCAAATAAACCTTTGGCTGCTTGAAACATTGAGTCATGCTTCTTTTTTGAATAAGTTATCATGAATACTCACTGTATTTTTCCAACCATATCAAGTAACTTATCATAAATTATTTGCACTATTTGAAAGCTTTTGCTGGAGGTGATGGAGTACACCAATACATAGCCATGGAAGTCCATACTGTATTGCAAGGGAAAAATACTATATTCATCTTGGCCAGCTGTATCTACCAGTTTCACTTCATATTCTGTTGAATTTAGCCGAATAAACTTTGTAAACGCTGAAATAAAAATTAAAAACAATAGTAAACAGTTTGTTTTTAATCATTGTCGTTTTATTAAGTAAAATATTACGTACTGTTTTCAATTGTAGGGTCATAAGAGTCAACGAACTGTCCCTCCACAAATTGAATAATAAGAGAAGATTTACCTGCAAATAAGTCTTATTAAAAGAACGTCACAAATGATAAATTAGACGCAAATTGATAATAGTAATGTTACTTTACCAACTGATCGGTAACCCATCATAGCTATTTTTCTCTGTTTGGAAGGCATTTTAAATTGGTTTAATTTAATGTAAAAACAACAATTGCAATTATTTCTCACAGGAAGTATTGTAATAATAACACAATATCAACCACATTCACATTAAAAACGTCAAAAATTTGACATGACACTAAACTTTGATATCGTTTGACATTATTTGACTTTGACACCAGTCCCCACGATTTCCAAAGGTTCTGCATTCCTGGCAATACAGGTTTCATAAAACGCCCATGACCCATGACGTTTAAAATAACAAGAAATACTGACAACTGACAGTTTAAGTGGCAAATGACAACGATCACTGACAAATGACAGTGACACAAGTGAAAAATCTCTTTTTTTGTGGATGATTAATTTATTGTTCATCAAACCATATAATAAAATAATAACATATTTCAATTTAATTACAAAACGCTTGTACTGTGAAAATTACAGGTATGTTTTAGAGTTACATTTTGAATATTACTGTTTACATGGTAAATTGTCAATGTAAATAGAGGATAATGAATTTGTACACATAATTACATTAGGAAAATACTTTTTCAGTATTCAACTATACATTAGATACACGTCAGATATTTCAACATGCCTGTGAATATCCCCGATTGCCCGCCTAGCTTAAAATCTATACAACATTACTTAAAAACAGCTTCAGAACATGACGCCAGAGACCCTGTGGTGGCCTACTGGTGTCGTTTACACGCCCTACAAGTTGGCATGAAGTTAACCAACAAGAAAACTCCAGAAGAAACAAAGATGTTGATGGGTAAGAATCATGTTTTAGTGGCAAGATGTGTAGCATTATTTTTAAAAAAACATTATTTAGTTTGCAATATTTAAAGGTATTAGTCCATGGTGTTCAGAGGAATGATACTTCTGAATATTAGTAGTCAAATTAAGTTTATAACCTTTATAAATACAAATAAATCTTTATTAAGGTCTAATGGACTGGTTGGAAGAAGAAAAGACAACTCATAAAGATAATGAAGCTATAAGTAATGAAGTAGCGGCACAGGCTCATCTTGAAAATTATGCACTAAAACTATTTATGTATGCAGACAAACAGGACAGGGAGCAAAGTTATGGAAAGTAAGCATGATCTTGATTAGATTTATGTAAGAATTTTTAATTTATTAAGGCAGAGAATATTATAATGATGTAGTCTTTAGCTACCATTACATTTGTATCTTAAAAATGCAAATTTTTGTCTCAGAAATGTCGTCAAAGCATTTTACACATCTGGAATGATCTATGATGTCTTAACTACATTTGGTGAGCTGACAGATGAGGCTGCACAGAATAGGAAGTATGCCAAGTGGAAGGCCGCATACATTCACAACTGTCTGAAAAATGGGGAAACACCAGTCCCAGGTGAAATATTACAATAGTTACAATTTTTATTATTATATTGTGTTGTATTATGAAATACTTATTACTAATGTTGTTTTTCTGTTAAATAGTCCTTTCTGCATTATTACAGGGCCTCTTACAGAAGATGGAGAAACATCGAATGAAGAGAACACAGGAATCAATACCCAACCAGAACCCATGGGCTTTACCTCAAATCCTGGTTTCCAACCTGATCCTACTGGCTTTGCCCAAAATCCTGGGTTCAATCCTCAAGTGACACCAGCAACACCACCCGTTATACCAACAAGTTTTAGCAGCACCTTACCTGATCCCAATGCGGCTATGAGAGCAGCATCTCAGTTGCCTCCTGTACCTTACACCCCAGATCCCAACCCTGGTGGGTTTGTACCATATGACCCTTCGCAACAGAGTCAGCCATCTCAACCACCTTATGGTGATAATTCTATGATGGTGGCGCAATTGAGTCCCGATCAAATTGCAAAAGCTCAGAAGTACTGCAAGTGGGCAAGCAGTGCTCTTAATTACGACGATATTAAAACTGCTATTAATAATCTGAAGAATGCTCTAGAGTTGTTACAAACTGGACAAGATCCCGCTTAAGTCATAAAAAGGGTTGAAACTGCAAGTGTTTAAGAGAATTTTTTGGTTTGTATGTAAGTTGTGTTGCATATTTGAGTTGCTCTTACTGAACCATGTTATGTAATTTTTTAAAGGGTTAAGTAATAAGTATAACATGAATATAGTAAAAAAATGTAAATCCATATATTATGAATAAGAAATAACTTATGTGAAATTAACATTATAAATTGTACAATTATGCGTTTAGAATTGTGTTACGTTTTATGTTTTGAAAACATAGATGTAAAAATGCTTTAATAAAATAATTTACTGCTCTTAACAATGTTTTATTAAAAAAAGAAAATGTAGCATTACAGGGAACAGGAATATCATAATAATAAAAAAATTAAAAATCATCAATTCACTCCATTTATTCAAATGTTCAATACACACATCTCATGAAAAATTCCAAAATCAATTTTGTGATATTACATAGAGCAACAATGAGCAGATTCACTATGGCTTCAACTATAAAACGTTTAATAACGAGATTCTTGTATAAGAACCTTATTTCATGAAAAAAAGTTACAGCAAATATCATTAACTATTTCAATTCCTGAGAAAAGTCCATGTTGGCAGTATTATACGTTAATACAAAGTAAATTGTGCGAAAAGTAAAAATTAAGCGTAAGTAAAAATTTATGGTCTGGATTAATTCTTAAAAAATACACAGCATTGTATCTAGATAAAAAAAACTGTAAAGTAAATAACAACAAAGGGGAAGTCCTAAACGCAAATACGCCTATCTTATGTCTACATTATTCAATTTCAAATCGCTACAATTTTATTTAATGCTTATAATTAAAACTTTCAATAGTGGAAGGAAGGTTAACGAAAAAGATGCAAATATAATAAGTATTAAAGCACATTTAATTATTCTATTGGAAAGTCTTAAAGATAAACTGTATTCAATGGGCGTCGCAGAGGGGCGGCAAACGGGGACAAAGTCACTCCCTACAGAATCTAAAAATGTAAAGTAGATATATATATATATATTGAACAATATAACACATGTAAAAATCTATTTCGTTAGCTCTAGTAGCATCCTGGGCTACGGCGTTGTTTCTTAGTCGCTCCCTTTTTTTACCATGCCTTTGAAGGGGTTAACAGGACTATGACATTGTAATTATTAGACCTGAGGGGACCCTTTCTGCCCAGCGACCTGGCCAATCGCTCTACCGCGCCCTAATCTACCGCCGGCACTGGCTTAGATCATCGGCTGGCGACGCCCCACATGTATTGTTTATTTCGATATTTAATAGTAGCTACCAAGAAGTATTAAGTTTTATAAGGATATTACTATCAGTACACACGATTAAGATTACTTAATTACATATTACATGTTTTGTTAATTGAGCATTTTTATTGTGAATCGAGTTACATTTATTGTAATTTAATGTGCAAATGTTGATCATCTACATTTTCTAATATATGCCACACGATCACGCATACACACCACATACAGACAAACATACGAATAGGTACCGCTTACCGCCTAAATATCACTTTAAAACTACAATATGTACGAATGGGTGTAAAATACGTACAGAAATGTTGATGGTATATGTCTTTTCAAATATCTTGGCGGCTCAAGGTCATCCGCGTCTACGCCTTGCGCAGTGCCCCTCTACGTCCCACTATGTTGCGTTGTGCGCAGCGACTCGTACGATGTTCAGAACCGCCAAGGTATATGACAACCGTTAACACAATTTATATTTATGTGTCCGTTTGCACATAACTGCGGAATACTAAGAAGCGGTGCAAATAAAATCACAAACTATTGTGAGATGACTAGTAAAATCACAGTAAGTATATTTATAACAAAAACAACAAAACTAACGATAAATATTCTGTGCTCCAATGACTAGATCGCAATGCTAAAACAATAAAAATTTCACTTGATGTAAGTCTAATATCATGCATATATTTTCGCAAGGATCTCAGTCGCGCTTCAGACCGTTGCCGTTTTGTGCAGTTGCGGCTTTCTCTAGAGCTTCGCGTCGACTGGTCTGATACCTGAAATACACATTTTACATTAAAATATAACCAAATAATATATTACTACTGATATCTACTTTATTATTATTATTATTTTTTTATTTTACTTTATTATTTTTTATTGTATTGCCTCTTAAAGTGTGGTCATTTTAGCTCTTATAACTTTCCCCAATAATAAAGCTTTCAAATGCAAACAGAATATTTTAAGTCCGATCGCTAGTTTCGAGATTAGCGCGTTCAAACAAACTTTGCTGCGAACTTTTATTACTGCACAGATAAACGACTTTACACAAAACAAGTGATTAGTTACTAAATACCGAATAATTACTATATTGATAAATCTCAAAGAAGTATGATCTTTTTTAATATTTCCTAGTTGTATCGATAGGAAAATGAGACTGTGAAATGAATTGACTGCATTGTTTACTTAGTAATAACGCCATAAATAAAGGCCTGAAGAAATCGAACTGCAAACAGCGCAGCAAAAGATCAAATAAACAGCGCGTAATACAGTTAATAAATGTGAATATAGCTAGTGCGGAGCAATCAACCAAAATACGAATTCGCACGACAACGGGCTTGATTTCTGGCGACCGGCCAGCGGTAGCGACGCTCCGACGCACAGACTCGCCCGTGGGATACATCTAGTTTCGTAACTCGTGTTTACATGTCGTAAAAATTGGTCAAGGTGCAAATAAACTGGTCACGAAGACACTACCCTGATTATAGATAAATCAACATAAAGAAAAAGAATGGCGGATTCGAAACCACGTTATCGGTTTTTGTATTGCTTTAGATTGTTGGCGCTTCTTAAACAGTCACAGACAATACAATATTATACTAGTAGTAATAGTCATATTCCAAAATATGTTTGGAATATATGATGAATTTAAAATGGCTTGTTTCCATTATATTTATTGTAGCATCAGTCATGCAATAATTACGGTGAAGTTTGCGTTGAACATATTATAGTCTCCGGTTTTTTTTTTAAATATAAGTAACGAAAGGCTGACAAAATGTTTTTACATAAGCGAATCGACACTGAAAACAGTTATGAAGAACAAAACATAAAAATTGATTTGAGCAATTGACGTCAATCTGCCCAACGCGGGGGAGTGCGAACAGCAGCTGTTTATAAAACATCAAATGCAGCTTATATGAATCTATTTTTGTTCGTTTCTTATGATTTATAATTAAAGTTTCTAAACTATGTAGTCATATAAAAATTTATGTCTGTGCCGATGCAATCTTTTGCCATACGAACTTACATTACGAGACTTTTTTTGTTCGAGAATTACAATATTTTAATTAAACGCACTAACCTAGAAACTACGAAATGAATTTTGATAATTTTAATAGAAACCACAACTTTTTGTTAGGCGTAAATAACAAATGCTAAGTCTGATACTAAGCAAAAATAATTGCTATTTTTTTTTAATTCTGTACACATATCTTCTTCAGTTTTAACGAAATGTCTTCGTCCTGTAATTTATTATTTTACCGCGTAGGAATTTCGCTATGCGCCAATAAAGTATTTACGTGCCAAAAAGACCGCGAGCGATAAGCTTTCAATCTATCAACCCCGATTTCCAATAAAATCTTCAGCAGACATTTTATAGTCTTTAAGATGAGTGTAAAAGAAATTACCAATAGTATTGTTTCTGGCTTTAATAACTTCTTTACATTGAAACTCATTATTGATGTAAAGTAGAATTTGCAATTTACAATGTTTTCTGTTAAAATAACATGCACAAAAATAATTTACTGACCAAACGACAAGCCGACCACTAAGCATGAAGAAGAAGACGAGTGCTGGTGCGCAGCGGTCGAAGGGATCCCCCACCATCACGTGTGAATATGCGGCCAGCATCATCAGCAGCACCAGTCCAATGTTTGCAGCATTTTTTATTTTATCTGTAATCGATTCCCGCGAAATTAGAATACTGGCACATTCAGAGTAGTTTTATGGTTCATTTAACAACACTTTAACAATTAAGGAAAAAGTGAACCAATTATTCTGTTTTTTTAGTATAAGGTGGCAAACAAGTAAGTCAGGAGGATTAAATATAATTTTAAAAGAACTTTTACAGAGTCAAAGTAAAACAAATATGTATATTATATTATTTTAGTTTATTCATAAGCACACAAATGAATTTTTGCTAGAAAAACTAACGTGTCGAATAAATCAACGTACAAATATTTTAGATTAACTGATTTTGATACACGTTTGAAGGTAAAACAAACCGCAAATGTTTACATTACTTTGATTGATCCAAAAAATAAATAAATATCGGTACAATATAAGCAATAGCTAGCGGATGCACCACCCACGTGTTACGTCGCTCAATCTTTACTGTACTAAATAATTTGCATCATTATTTTTAATCACAAAATGTTCGTGGCTTTTGTGATATTATTCTACACTTATATGTATTATATGTCCGGTAAAACTTATTATTTAATTTTGTTTCGGCATAGACCATATATGCATTGAATTTTAAAATAATTTTAAAAAGTAAAAATTCACAAAATGTGTTGCAGTTATATCAAATTTTAAGGATGCAGCAGTTCAGATCTATGAATGTACCGTAAAAAAAAACTATTAAATATTACTTCGAAATGAGATATCAGTTGTATAGATGCTAGCGTAGACATTTTGGGCGATGTGTTAACTGGAGAGCTTCTTATAACAAAAGCTCCGCACAAACAATAATACTGGCCGGGCATTGTAAACTTTTCCAGACATTTTAACGACCACTTCAATGGTTTACAGCAAAACGTAACCATCAACCTTAGACGTTAATAAACTAATGTTGGTCTATAAAAATGTCCGACTAAAGCGAATTGTTATACGTAATTTGCTGGGAAAAAAATTAAAGAGCACAACGCCTGTGAGACAAAATTACTTTGAATATAGTTTTATATGTTTTTTTACTTATTTCTTGCTTATAAGTCTATAGGAAAGGTTAGACTTCATACTGTAATAAACTTACCCATAATAAACAAGCCTTTTCCATATGTTACCTATCATTTGCGCATTTTAGATTTAGTAGGAACAAATTTCTGCAATGCGAAATTAAGCAAAATGTAGAGTCATTTTGCTTAATTTCGTTTTTTTTTATTGCAGAATCTAAGTTTGTAACTGTGTCTTTATTAAACTTACATCTCGGAGCATAATTACAATTTTATAGACACCTGTTGTAATTTTTTTTAAATACGCGTAAACATTTTTCTGATATTTTTTTTTGTTTCTCTATGCAATATTTCATTTGTCCTACTTTAACATTCAGTCGAAAATATTAAACGATCTAGTTTGAACGTAAATATCTTACATGGAATCAGTAGACAAGAGCAGGTGGCATCCAAATTCGACTTTGGAAATTATTAATTGCAATTATTGAGCAATGGCATGTGTGGAACATTGTCATACGTACACACAGGTGGCATGTGTTTTTAAAAGCATGGGCTAAATGCTTTTACATATGATGTATCACATAGATATATGTACATATCCTATTTATATGCTTATATAACCTAAAAGTATCAATATAAGATAGAACGAAAATGCTTTTATTGATGGTAAACCGAACGACACGGAAGTATATTTTGATTTGATTGATTATTTTGTATGTTTGTTAATTGTGGCTCTCTATAACCTGTAATTGTCATGTGTAGAGTGGTATACTTATTAATCACATGCACAGTTGCAAGTTGTATAATGAAAAGATATAGTCAGTCGAGATTCTACGGCCACATTTCTATCTCTTACTCTTTCAGAAAAAAAAACAGAGTGTTGTGTAGCAACATGTACTTACGACTAGGTATGAGGGCTAAACACAAGCCGAAGAGTATTTCAAGTCCGCCGACCGTTCTTCTGTACCATTTTGAAGGTAGCTTGAAGTCTAACATCTCACTTAATGGAAAAACTTTAGCGTATCTCACATATTCTTTTCTCTGAAACAATATTGATTTTTTTTATAAAATAAAGGAACAAATGAGCAATAGGCTGTATAATGTAAAAGCTTACAAATACCTCTATGCAAAGATACAGATTACGGATTTTTTTTTCATTTATTTCGTAATTATATTTATCTATCTTTTCATCATTAATATTGATAGTTAAAGATATATTTACTTTCATAATAAAGTATATTGTATATTGTGTGTTTATCGTATTAAAAATTGATATCGTTTCACGAATGATATCGTCATTGTGAGACATCTCCACGTTGGCATTAGGCGGCAAGCCAAATACTAAAATAACTGAGCACATCGCTCCGCAACAAAATTCTTAATGCACTCGTCGACCTTTTATTTTTTTAATAGAAAAACAATATATAAATATGCACTTACCAAATCTTTATGTAATTCTTTTGAAATGACGGGGGTCAGCTTTGTCGTACCAACGAAAATAAAAAAAACTCCTAACAGAATTGACAAACTTTTTAATACTATCGAGCCCATTTTAAATTAATCTTTTTAAATATATACTAACACAATTTCACACCTGCATTTGTATAAAAATATTTTCACAGTAGTACCACACATGTGAAAACACATCAAGCTTTAGGAATGCTATTCTAGTGTTTCGTTTTATTATATTTATATGCACTCAGTCATATTTATCGAAATAATAATTAAGTTTCGATGAAATTACCAGAAAGCCGTGGGGAAACGGGTAACGCGATTCGCGCCGGCGCGAAAAAATCCATACTCTATATTTTTAATATCAGACACGTCACTCAGTTTTCGTTGGTTTGACGTCTTGAAATTTGGCCACTACTATCAAACGTATTCGAAGCAAGTTTAAAAAAAAATTAATGGTGCAATTACTCCACCATTATAACACCTATCCAGTTCAGAATTTGGTTGTCGCTCTCTAAATTACATTAACAAGATGGCTACAAACTGGTAGCATGGTGTGCATTAGCGCATTATCTTTGGAATGGAATTAATGTGATGAGCTTTATTACAAAATACTGCAATAACGTTCATATTCAAAGTAGTCTTTCATTTATTAAATTTTTTCTATATCAATAAAATTTTATAATTATTAGTCCTCCATTTCACAGTATATTTCTATATTTTTTAAAGATATCTCTCATCGTTCTAAAAATCAGTCTCAAAACCTTTTTTATTATTTTCTCATGGACAAGGGTATCGCCAACCAATGATCAAGGGGGAGGGAGGATAATCTTTGTTGCCGTTTAAAAGGAAATGCTTATCAACATGTGGACCATTTTCTAAATCAATTTTCTCTAGTTGCGCCTGCAATCACTTATCCCCTTGGCCACACCTATACTCTTGCATGGAAACAAGCGGGGCAGTTGTTAGCAGTACAATTTAACTTTCAAGAGGCATGAGTTCACATTTTAAATCTAAAAGCCATCATATTAGTAAAACCATTTAATTTCTTTTTACAAACAACTTTTGTTTAACTACATATTTAAAACTATTTTACTTAAAACATGAACTTTGTCTATAATATATTGAGCAATGAATATATCATTATATTAAAATTAATTTTTTATTGAAATTAAGAACAATTTTTTTTTTAGAATTACTAACATTTCAAATCATACAATCTTCTCAGAATAAAAAAATGTTATCTAATAATAATCCCTCACTTTTGAAAAATCCTTTGTATTCCTCCATAAAATCAGAACAACCACATAACAATACTTGATCATTGCATGTAAAAGGCTTTAAAGTTACCAAATCCTCACATTTTAATTTAAAATTATTTATTGGTTCTTGATATTTAGTATTTTTGTGGTCAGAAGGAGAACTAAGAAAAACTTTATATGTAAAGTTCCAAAAAGATTTAAAATTATACAACTCATTCCTAAACAATATCACATCTATAGAAGAACAACAATAAACAAGGAACATCCTAGTCATATCTTCTTCATCGCTCAAGATACTGTCTATTATCGAAATAAATGGTGCTATTCCTGTACCCTGAGCTAACATAATAAGTCTTTTATATTTATTAGTGATTTTTTCATATGAACCGTATGGCCCACGCCATAATGTTTCATCTCCCTTTTGTAAGTTGTAAAGATATTTTGAAACTAACCCAGAATTATATAGTTTTACAATAATAGAAAAATCAAAACTATCTTTACTCTCTTTTAATTTTATGGGTGTGTAAGCACGAGTACATACTGTATTATCAGAGAAATATTTAACTAAAAAATGATCACCAGGATTCCACTGTACTAGATGTTTATCTTTTTCCTGCCTTAACTTTTTAAATGTTATTAATTTATGTGAATCACATATTAAATAAATATTATGAACAAAAAATTTTGTATATTCTAATTGCAGTATCCCATTTTCAGTTGTTACAGGTAATTCATTATGTGTTAAAAAGATTTCATATTTTCGTAATTGTTTTTCATAAACATCAAATATACAAGGATTGCAACCGCTATTACAACAATCTTCTTTGCTTGGTTCCACGGGCTGCTTCATTGCAAATTCTTTCTCTTTGATTAAATTACAGTGAACATAAATTAACTAAAATCTGCTGAAATCTAATATTAAATAAAAATCAACAAAATTTTTATTTAACAGATGACAGATTTTCTGAAAATGACAGTGACAACTGACAGTAGATAAAAAATGTTATTTATTTATAGGTTTTATTTCACAATTATAAATTAAAAATTCGTATTGGCGTCATTTGAATCTTTATGATACTTAGTGAGTGCTTACATGTCCCCAAGAAGAACCTTAGATCCTACTCTAAGACCCAAAAGAGGCTTAGAGGTGATTAGACCTTAGTCAACGACCATGGCCTACTGCGGATTAGTGACTACACACATATCTTTGAATTATATGCGATTATAAAGCATTTGCTTTATTATTTACCCGCATCGTCTCACCGCAGAATAAAGCTCTGTGTGGCTCCCTTAACTTTTCTCCAGTATGTCCTATTTGTACCCTATCCAATGATTTTGGCCTTTGCCTGGTAGATATACTTAAGTAATTTGGGGATTTAGATTAAGCTCGAGAAGTGATGATATTAAATCAAAGAATGTCTAACTTTAAAATAATAACATAGGCTTTATGTTCAACTTAAGTTTTTAAAGTTTTACGGTTTTAAACTTTTTAAGTGTTAAATGGCCAATGAAAAACCTATTATTCTAAGAATTCCCTGCTCGTAGTTAGATGGTGTGCAATGTTTATGTTGAACACTAATAATTTTAAGGATCTGAAATATATTCTATTACCACTATATTTTACTAACATAAAATTACTAAGATATTGAAAGCCACGTAAAAATGTTGACGAACATAGTATAATTGTGGTACTATTTTATAAGTGGCTTCCAATAAAAGAAATAGTAATTACATTTGTAAATAACTATACTTTGCTTTCTTCCTAGAAATTCAATAACTACAACAATTTTTATTTATATGTTCACCTGAAACAACATTTTAAACCGAAGACAATAGCGCCCTCTAAACTGACGCTTGCTAAACGCCGGTTAACGCTCGTTCAGCAATCATCATAGCCCGCCATAATATTCTTGTAAAGCAATTGGAATTTGGCTTGCCTGTAAACAATTCTGTAAGTACAGTGATCTGATATATTTTTTCCTTTTTTATAGCATATTTCATTTGCTTTTTTATATATCATTAAATTTTTACGCACTTACGTTAGCGTATTTATGTAGAAAAATGTTAATAATTACCTAATGGCAGACTCCATTATATTGGCTTTGTACTTGTCGATACACTTGTAGATCTATGTTAGTTTAAATTGAAATAAGGTGCTTTTTGTGCTAATTATACTATTTTCTCTTTAAAAAAATATACTATTACGCTCCTTTCAGAGGTTTGATAATTTCGTCTATAAAAAGTACTAGATTATTTATTCCAAGCCAAGCGTCCTGGTTTGGGATATTGACTTAGCTTCGTTTGTTTTCTTTGTTTATCTTAAATACTAGTTATTTCTCTTATATTTCTGGTAAGATCAGTTTGTTTATCATATTCAAATTTTTAAAATATATGCAAAAGCTATAATTAAAGCTTTATTTTTGTGATTGTATACCCGACAATAAAGTCCGAATGCCGTGGAATGTGTTATAATATGTTTAAAAAATTTCAGGCCTTTTAATTTATAAATCCGTGAGCCATAATGTCGGATGATGGGTCAACGGTTGTTGAAAAGAAAGGGCGCGGCAGACCAAAAGCCAATGGAACTCAAGCTGTAAGTGTAATAAAATAAAACTCATTAGAAATGATTTCAATGAATTAATAAAACTTGTAATTTTTAGGAATCCAAAGGTGATACTAAAAAGAGAGGACGACCCGCAGCACCACCAGCCAAGACGAAGGAATCAAAAAATTCATCTGATGATGAGCAGGCACCTGCCGTAAAGAGAGGAAGAGGGAGACCTAAAGGATCTAAAAAGAGTGCCCCGGCTTCTAAGGCGAAAGTAAGATATATCAGAGATGTCTTTTAAACATTAAATACCAAGTTACAATTATTAATATTCTCCAACATTTTAGGGTGGTTCGGGAGAGGGACGAGGTAGAGGCAGGCCACGTAAGGAAGCACCTCCACCCAAAAAAGATGCAGCTTCCACTGAGGAGGAACAAGACGAAGATGAAGAAGATGAGGGATCTGACCAATAAATGCGTCTTGTCTGATAACTATCGATCTTAGCGTAATTTGTTCGTCATGATAACTTAACATGACTGCTACCACAAAAACAATTTATTAAAAATATTTACATTAACGCATACAGTTGTAGAGCGTCTGATAGCAGCATTGGGGGTTATCTTGACTTTACAAAAGTCTCAATTGAGATTGTGCTCCCAAAATTTAATCAAGTGGAACTATTAAATATTTTGAAATGTAAGATAATTAGCTGCTATAAGAAGGAATCCTTTTTTGTGATTTAATGCATTTACTTTTGTATCAGACAAATAAGTCTCACATAATTAAATTTTGGGTTGACTTAGCTCTCCCTAGAAACGTACAAGTTTAAGATATAATTTTTAAGATCATTTTGTAGATTCTATTCTAATAGGTATTTTGTAATCTCTTGATTTATATTATAAGAAATTTAATAATACAGTTTTATGGACTTGTCCACGTGACATGAACATCAAGTATTATTTTCTATAATAAATATTTTCATTTCCATTTAGTTATTTTTTTCCCCTTTTATATCACAAAGGACTTGAAAGTATATTTCTGTCGGACTTGTGCCATTTGTATAACTTGTATTTGGGGCAGACTGAACACATTTTTTGTATTACAATTATTATTGTGTGTATGTGTGTGAATGTTACATTTTAGCATTAAATATATAATAAATCTATATCAAAATAAATTTATTTACTTCGTAATACCTTTTCCTTTGCGTGGCCATATATTTAAAAATGTCTGAAAAAAAAACATACTAGGTGATATAATGTTCAAAATAGAAACTCTTGCCACTAACTTCATCATAGTTTTTGCTTAGATTTGTTAAGTTTTTAATTGATTTAAACAACGGACAATAGTTTTCAGATCGAATTTCGAAATTAATTTTTACAAATTATAAATGTAATGCTAATTTGTTACAATAAAAACAAATGAATGAAAGTAACATTTGCCCAGTCAACTTGGACGAATTCAAGCAAAAAATTTAAAAGTAAAATACTAAATACAATAACAGGAATATTAAATAAAATAATCTTTAAATATAGTGTCAAGGACGGGTTTTGTTGGAAACAGGAATAGACGGAGGGTATTAAAATAAAGCTTTTAAGATTTCTTAATCTTATTTTTTTTAATAATACAGTATAATTTTAATATAATTTTTAATATAAAAAATATTAAATGGTTAAAAATATGAAATATTTCGAAATCTTAACAGAATTTTTCACGTGGCTGTATGTCATCAATGCTTTGGCTTTTGACAAGTTGTGGAAAAAAGTGTATACTCGTTTTCCGTTGTGCAAGTCAAGTTTTGATTACTGACTTGCGTCAGGCGTGTTGCTTTTGCCTCAGCGTTGTGTGTTATTTCGTCGGAGAATAAATAGTGATCATACATATAACTATTAAGAAATAGCAATGTTAGTTTTGGTTTTATTTTGTGATTTTGATAAAAGGTAACGGACTACACTAGTGTACTGTTGTGTTAAGATTTTGTCATTTGCGTGGCTTACAAAAGTTTTCAAGTTGGTCACTTACGAAGTTTTACAAGTGCTTGTTTACTGTTTTTGTGTTCAAAAAGTCGTTGGCTGTTTTTAACTTCATCTTGTTTTATCTATAAGGTTAGTCATTAGTACGTATTCATTTCTTATTTAGTTTATATATTTTTTCAATAAACTTGTTTACAGAAAATCCCGTACGTGACACAAGCAGGTAATGCAATATTGTGAATGGATTTATAGCAATCCCTATCATTCAGAACTTATAGCCAACGTTATTTAAATTAGAAAATAACATCACTATAACTTACATATGTATATCATATTTTTTTTAAATAACTTTTGTTGACAGTTTAAAACTTCACATTACTTTTTGAAATATTTAAATTTTAAAAACATATTACACTGGTCTTGACAATTTGTTACTAGTATGTTGTATTAAAAATGTCGTGCCGTAAATGTATCTTAGTTTTTATCATAATGAGATGAGTCACAAGCAGGTTTACAATAATATTTACCATTTTGCAAATGATACTTCATTTATATATAATTTTACCTGGTACAGATTTCATTAATGGTTGCTCCAGAAACTTAAACCTGACTGCCATGAGGTTCATGGGAGTCCCTCATAATCCAATCTTGTCTAAAAAACTATTTATGAGCTTGTCAACAATAAGTTTGATTTTTTATAGATGGTAATGAACCATAGACAGACTTGTGATTTTGAGTTGTGATTTTTAAATAACCAACAGCCTATATTTGCATAAGTGGATTTTTGTTTGATTAAACATCAATACAAAATATAGCTTATTTTACATTACTCGAGAAAGTTTATTCCATTACAAACACAAGCAAATATGAGCTTTTCCTCTGTGCGATATTATTTAATTTATTATAAAAAATAACATCTTGATTATTCTCTTCTATGTAAGTTTGTTAAACCAAATGTCTGGTTTTTTTCATGTTACATTGTGACTCTTTTTACTTAAAACTTGAACAATATTATTAACAACCATGGTAACCAGATAGTTGTTTAATGTTTCATTTTCAAGTGAATGTTTTTTTTTTTTTATCGGAAATATAGTGATATAGAAAAAGGTAATTTCCAAAATAAATTGTATTTGATACACACTGTTTTGTAATTTATTGTATTAGGTCTTACAACAAGTTATATGTCTGTTGCCGTCAGCTCATCTTTTTACTGTGGGTCTCAAAGCCTTCCCATTTTAGGGGTGACTAGACATAGACAACTATGCTTACCCAGTGCAGGTTTGTTGTCTTTACACATATCATTGAATTTCTTCTCTGTTATGTGAGGTTTTTGTATGTGATAAATGCTTATATTACAATTTAAAAAGTTGTTTATTATTTGTAAATTTAGAAATAATGTTATATAAATTTATAGAAACTTAGGTACCAGGCATGGATTAAAACTTGCAACAAGTAAAATATTCACAATGTGGAAGAATAGTGCAAAAAATATATTTGTTATAAATTAGATTTTAATTCTAAATATTTATCATACTCTGAATAATATTTTAGGAGTGAAATAACCGAAAGCTACACTAATAACTTGCTTTGTTCCATCACTGAGTACAAAAATTGTCAATGGCAAAGAAAAAATTGAAAAAAAAATTGTTTTTAGTTCATCCATCAATAAGGGATTATTGTTTCGTTTGTGTGTATTGCGGCGGCCCCTCTGCGGCCCCGGTCGTGACACGTGCCAGCACAGTATGGCACATTTGCCATACGCAGTCGTCGATCGGCGTGTACAAGTGCTTATTGAATGACTATATACCACAAACGCGGTTCGCATTCTAATAGCTTTTGTACGAAGTACATACAGCGTGAATCATTGTGATTTACCATAAATCACCTTGTATGGCTCGTGATAGAGTCTACAATAGGTGACTAGGTGATGGTCACAATAATTGTACGTTAGTGGCTGTTGGCTTTGCTTGGACGTGATTATATTTATGAATCGTAAGGTATTATATGTAACATTAAAAAACAAACTAACAATTTTAATTCATACGAAACTAAAGTTTATTAAGATTTAACGGTTCGTAAAACTATTAAATATTTGTAAAAGAACGTAGCCAATTAGTTTTAAAAGATACATTGATAGGATGACTCATGAAACTACTTTAAAAGTTCATACAGCGCATACGCGGATTCCAATGAATATGATTCTTTTTAATTATAAATTAATATAATGTACTTACGACAAAATCACCATTGTGTAATGCATATGTACCTATCATTCACTATACTCAAAAGAATGAAGATATGTAGTTATTGTCATGGAAATCGGCATATACATTGTTACTCTCGTAGGCTGTGTAATGTAAGTGGTACCAATGAATTTTATGTTACGTTACTGAAAAATCTTTATGTACTCAAAAGTTGCTAAAATCATAAAGTAATCTGTAGGATCTAATAAGGTTGTATACCAACAAATTCAATGATTCTGCCACTACCACGGTCGTTGCCTCAGTGAGTCACGATTGCGAGAGTGGCGGTCGCCATAGGTACAGTCACTGTGACTTCGTATACGTATAATTTTGATTGTGATATTTATTGATTGTCAATCCGATATTAAGACCGTAATATTTTTTTTATAATTCACCTAATTCGTTCTTTGTACTATTTTTCTTATTAATGGTAGATGATATGCTATTATACAAACATAGGAATAGTAATTTATGAACTCTTTTCTGAGTAAAAAATCATGTTCTCATTACGTCAGAGACAAGATTTGTATTTCTAGTTAGAGCAGTAATTCCAATAGACTACGGCTTCCTCTGAACCAGAACACTCTAGTTACTCCAGAACAACTAGCTAGCATTATGTACTGTTTCAGTAGTATAATTTGAAATAATATTACACATGATACCTAGTAATTATAGAGTTTGAAGATATAACTTTCATTGAAAGAGTTAACTCAATGAACCTATGACGTAATTATCGAAATAAGAAATCGATCAATAAGTTTTACGTATATATATTTCATACGTGTCACATATGTCAACAATATTGTTCTCGTGACATTAGAACCTTAAGTATTTTTTTTAGTCTATTACAATATTAACTATTAGAAGGAAGAAAATAACGTAATACACTTTGATACTTGTATATAACCTTATCGATGTATGGTAGCATTTCACCAAGGCCTCACCTTCACACGTCAATTGAATATGTGCCTTTATCGCGTGCCGATGTTTATTTTTACCGATATCAATACGAATACTTATCAATTTTTATAATAAGCATAAATTGATAAAGGCTATGATGCATTCATGTTTTGATGCGTGAATTGTAATGCGGACGGAGTTATCGAGTTACTGAAATGCATTTGCAGAAACGCCCCTTTTCCGTTGTACATTCTGTTAAAAAAAATGGGGATGGATTTGTATTTCTATTCAAAATACCTGCTTATGAGTGGTACGTTGAAAACTGATCGCGAAGTGATGGAAGATTTGTATCGCCCTGATAGTTCATTAACGTGTGCAACTAAAGTTAACATCACAAGAGAGATGGAAATAGTGACTAAAAATCCCCATTCCAGTTTGCAAGAGACAGCCGGTAAATCTTCTCACAAGTATGTTAGTGTTACAGCTTCTTCTCAAAATGTTCATAACTTTTTAGTTACCTATTATTTCTTATGCAAATTAAATATCACATAACAGCTAAATAAAAATATGGATAATAGCCCTTACAATGAACAAGCAACCTCTTTCTTCACTTTCTCCGTCACCGTCTATTAGAGAAACTGCGTAATCATCTAAGTACCATGTTATATAAGCATGTTCCCCCTTTATACTCGACCATTGCTGATGACAGTCAAATGCAGACACAATGTAGTTGTAGTCATGAGTTGTAATTCTTACATTATTTTGTTACAGATAGCATGGCGTAGACAAATTAGCTACACTTCTGCTGTCGAAACTGTTTCGGATCTTACATTTGAAGGTAATAATAATCTTAATATTATGAACACATAGGTTACTATATGAGGTAATGATGATGGTAAATCTTTACACAATTGAAATGATTTTATTCAGGCAAAAAAAAGTAATTTTGGATTTCAATTGAAATCTTAATAGAACCATTAGCGTTTGTCCGAAAGCGATGTTAATAGGTAGCGGTAAGCGGACATTCAACTTCACTGGGTCACAGTTAGTCTACGTCCTGAATTTTTAAGCACACCATTAAGGTGACGGAGGCGTCTCGACTTGTGTGCGCTTTTCTCTCGCTGATTACGTCTTTATACTTTCCTATAGTAATTCATGCAGCTAACATAGCGCTAGCTACATAGCTGCCAGCGCTTGGTTGCTCCCAAGCAAGTGCTCAAAGGAAACTAGCAACTGTATACACAATCCTTAAAGTCCGCGCCATCTGTATTAATGGATATTATGTAAGCAGGGTTCTTTTCTGGTTTTTGTATTGAGAGATGTATGTCGCTATTAAGAAATCTCTTTGACAAAAAGTATGTTAAATCAAAACCTCCCATCCAAAAAGCTGATTTCTATTTTGTGGTCTTCTCTTTTTACCTTTATTTATTTTTTATTTGTACAATTACATTTCAAACTAATTGATCTTAAAACGACTAGGTCTATCGATGAAGAAGACTTTCACGTGACCACGATAATTACGACCAGTTTGTAGCGCGTTGCTCTATCAGATGTAAATTGGATGTATCGATGCAATGAATGATATCCGCGCTGCTTCCAAAATAACGACCGGAAAGTGGATTTATCGATCGCATATGCCCGACAAAAATATATAGAAAAATGTGGAACCGCTACTTTCATTTCTTTAAATCTGCGGTATGATTTTGACTACGGACATTAAATTATTCAAACTTCCGTGAGACATTATATTAAACTGATATATAAACACGGCTAAACACTCACGTATATACGTCCGGTGGCGGCACCGACTAGTTTCGAGCCCATCGGGGGCCCTTCATCAGGATGAGTGGCACTGGTATTGTTTCAACAACAACACCACCGACGCTTTGGTATCAACATCGTCGACGACGCCGGCGCAACCCGCGCCCCCCGCCCCCTCAAGACGCGCCCTAAGAGCGCAGGCGCGCAGTGAGCGACGGGCCGCGTCCGCGAAACAATACCAGTGCCACTCATCCTGATGAAGGGCCCCCGATGGGCTCGAAACTAGTCGGTGCCGCCACCGGACGTATATACGTGAGTGTTTAGCCGTGTTTATATATCAGACTACGGACATGTTATTTTTTCTTTATTTATAGTGCTTACGCTTGTAGTATTTTTGCTTAAACGTCCCGGAAAGACATTTTTCTGAGATAACAATCTTTATCTTTATTTCTATTCTATATAACTAGCATAACATGATTTTGGCATAGTTGCCCTTACTTACTTAAATTAGTATGTGTTCCTGACGTACGTATGGTTACTTTATCTAATGAGTCTTTGTAATATCCTGTGCGCTTAAGACAATTAGACGTTGTCACCGAGCGGTCGCCACTCGGGCACAATGACCGTGGAGCTCAATAGAGGGGCTGCAGCGTGGCGCAGTATGCATCAGCACAGTCGATTGCTCCTAATTCAATTACTGCAAGTGGAACGCGTCTGGCACGCACCGACCGCCCAGCCCGCCCCGTTCGCACCTCAAACCCCTCTCGCTCTCTAAACTAACACGATCATTTTACGTAACTATAACACAAATCGCATATGGAAAACGCCGGAAGCGCGAGAGTAGATCGCAGGAATGTTGTAATAAATCGGCGAGAACTTTTTATTTGACTTTCGTACAGCTACGCGATCTTCGCCACGCCGCCGGCTGGTATGCTGCGCTTCGAGACGCGCTTGTTTAGGTTAAAGGTGATTTAAACGGTCATGTGATGCCTTTATTTATATTATAACGTCTTATACTAACGTTTCCTTAATTACAAAATGTTTTATTTGTATTAAAATAACTAAAATGTACAAATTAAAGACTCTATTCAAAGGTTATTATCCTTTATGTATGCCAAATGTATATTCATCATTAAGTCACAACCTCGATGAACTTGAACCCCGGTAGACGAAAACGGATAATAACTCGAGATTATATTAAATAAATAAATGTTCGTTGTTCATCTCTAACCGTCAGTGAATAGCAGTCCAGTAGAATTCATTCTTATTGATTTTGCATTTCTTCTGATTGACTTAGAAAGTTTCAAGGTAATAAATCAACTAGTATACAACGATAGTAGAAAATGACATAAACAATCTTTCGGAGATAATGTTACAATGGTAACTAACACCTAAGTACACTCGAACGTGAGGTTTCTACAACCCAGATTTGAATATTAAAACGAACGAACAAATTATTTACGTTCAAACGTTTTATAACCGACTTGCAAAACATATTTGGTAAACAATGGCTTGTAATGCCATTACGTTTCGTATGAACATCGATTTTGTAAGACCCGTATTGTTCAAATAAACTGTTTTATATCGAAGACGCGTCTATTATAAACGATTACAAAGTACGTATTTCAAGGGATTTGATGAAAAGAAATAAAAGAAATCGGTATAATTCGCCTGTTGGTTATAATCAGGACACATTCTATGCGAGGTTGAGGTTCTGTTTGGGCGCTGCGTGAGTTGAAACGTTTCCCGGCACAGCCCGTGCCAGGCCCCGGCCACCCCTGTTACTCCTGCACGGCCCAATGGTCGATATAACGACCTTATTTTTATGAAAGCAAATATGACATGCCGGCACATAGTTCACCCAGTTGAAAGTATTAACTTTGTTACAAAACTATAATTTTAGTCCTTAGAAATCTTATTTTAATTTCTATGTATAATTTTGTAAAGTCTTGGTAAGCTGTTTGTATTTTGTGAAATAGAGCTTAGAGTAATTCACTTTCACTCAATCTAAAAGTTCGTGCGTGAGAAAATCATCTCAGACGACGTTAAGTTACGAAGAAGTTGTACCGGCTTTAAAACCATGATAGCTTGTAATGATGACGACAGGTCATCGACTTCGTCCCTTCGTACACAAGGCTACGTAAATATCCGATACTACGTTTCGATACTTGCGTCTACAGTATCGCGTAGTGCGAGGTTCGTACACACAACAATGAATCGTCGAAGTCAGTCGTCTATTCGGTCAGTACAGGCGTAACGACTACAGGGCTCATACGACTTTCCATAATCTCAATTGTACAAATTTGCTCCGCCATCTTGAAAATAGCAGCAATTTTTGCACTGACGATATTGACAAAAAGGTAGCGAACTACGTACCGAGCTACCTAGCGAGCGATGCGTGCTTGTTTACGAACCTCTATAATATTGAACACCGTAAGTCACAATTATTAGACTAAAATCTTCGGATATCCTTATATATTAGGATAGCCTTGTGTAAGAAGGGCCTTAATGTTTAACGTTGACAACTTCTTTAATTTTGACATTTGGTTAGTAATGGAAACAGTTATGACGCGGTCCCGTTTTCGTCGAGAGTGAACGCCGATGGTCACGGTCATTCGGTGCGCGGGTAGCGATTTGCCGGCGTCATACTTTTGTCGAGACATGGCCGCGGCCGCATGCCAACCCGGCGGACTCTCTCTGACGCGCCGGAACGAAACCCGATTGCTAACTACTCATGCCCTACTATCACTCGCCAGACAGACGACTCTCTAAATCACAGATAGTATATCGCAGAACACCGCTCTCCGAAACGATTTTTTTTAATTCGACACCAACAGTATCAAGTTACCGGCCATTCTGTGTCTAATATCAGTTTCATGTTTTTTTTAAACATACAATTGCTAAGTTTTGTGCTTCAATTGCAAAAAAAATTATATATTCCGTTAATTAGCAAATGTCGCATAAAGTATTACGGAATTTGTTAATCAGCAAGATGCGAAGACACGAATCTTATGTGAATAAGTCAAAGATAAAAAAGGCAACCGCTTGGTATGAGCATTTAAAGTTTCGTTAGCGGTAGAGGCTGGAGGCGCGCGCCTTCCCTGTGACTCACGTCGCACTTCGCTCCTCGGTCAGTACCTTTTGCATTCCATTTGTCAACACAATGCAGCCGTTTTGCCGTGCTGTGCGCGGTGCGCCTAGGAAATTAATAGGTATTATAGAAATGAACACGCGCAGCAAAATATTAAAGGTACTATTTTGCCTTTTTTTGCGGTGGTCATAATCACATAGGTTTTTCATGACACGAAAGTTGTGTCTAAATTGTATTAATAATAAAAGACCGAATCTTATCTAAGTTGTTTTGTTCCTCATTTTGGCAAATTCTGATATTGAATCTATTTCTTATTTGTACTTCAACGGTATTTGGTTATGTTCGTCTGAAGATTCCTGTGATAAACATAATTGTCCAACGTCCAAAAAGTCAAGACATCGCGTTCAAACGATCAACATTAAGAGATAAAGTCTTTTCACACGAAGCCTACGACAAGCAATAGTCTCGACTGCGAATACTGCGTGACAGTGTAACTGTACCGTTTCATAACATGGGAGGTTTGCAGTCGAAGCCGAGTTCTCAGGGCCGGGCGCGAGCATCGACCGAATCGCGAACGCCGGGTTACACGACTCCCGTAACTTGAGCCAGCTGAGCGCGGCTGTGTGAATGGACCAAAGTAGGTGGCGAGCAAGCCTGCAACAAACCGCTATAAACGTCGCTCAACTATTACCTTTGTATGCGACGTGCAAAGTAGTGAATCTAACCTATAAACTTACTATCATATAGAATATTTGTTAATCCGAAATGCAATTAATTTGAACATATTTCTTGCAGACATTTAATTTCCATAGCGTCTGATAAAGGTTTATACTGTTATGATTCGTAACAGATGCTCATTACTTTTCCGGTCTAAGATGCAACGATTTATTTAATTTTTAATTGTCTTATCATCTTAATTAGTAACTCGGTAATCTTTATTAATGCGATCGATTGTCAAACTAATTACATAGTCCTAGTAAAATAAATTGACAATTATGGTACACTGAAATTAAAATTTTGTTGACTTCTGCTTCTTAGGAAGTATAATGTGTTTCATATGGACTGTTGTGATTGTGTAGAAATTATTTTGACCTGATATTAAACTAGGCTTTTTAAGTAAACACACACCTGCGTTTGTTTCTCGCTTCGTTGGATAAATAAATACATTCTGTAAGAAATGTTACTTTCACTAGTGCTGGGCGTCTCTATGATAATTTAACTTAGACATAATTATCTGTGTGAAAACTTAATAAGCATGGAATCGTAATGGCTATTATATTTATTTCTTTAAAAGCCGTGAGAAATAAGTTTTTATATGTGATCGTGAAGTAAAAGTTATTTTTATTAGGCACTTGTGAAAAGAGCAACGATTAGGCACGTCGAAAGCTGGAGTGTTTACCGAAGGCCGAATGTGGTGTGAATAGGAGAATTAGTGAGTGAGTACATTGGCAGTGGGGCGCCGCCGGTGCGTACACTTGTTCCGCCCCTATGCACTTGCCAGGGGTCGTTGTTTTTGCGCCGGCACTATTATATCAACACCATACATTCCCACGCTCAATGCTGTTGCCCTGTTCAATGAATGTTTTAGCCGTGTAATTAGTTTACTTACGCTTGCAAAACAATGTGATGCGTCTGTATCGAATGTGATGTAACATTAGTTGAGTAATAAGTTCGCAGATTGTCTGGAATATATGAGTTGATACGATGGTCAAGACGAAATCTGTTATTTATAACTTTTTATGCATTATTTTTCTGGTAAAGTTGGCGTTTTTTGATCCAAATGAAAGTGAGTAATAAACAGGCTTATTTTCGTCGACATCGAGAATGTAATTCCTATAAATAATTTCTTCTATAATTGTGTTTGCATTCATGTGTATAATACGATTCATTAAGTGACTGTTAATGAACATGTAGATCTCATTAAATCAATGAAGTCATGGACGATTGCATATAAAGCGTTTTCCAGGTGCTCTAAGTAAAAAACGTCGAATGTATATGCAGACATGCTGTTTAGATCAAGGTGCTTTAGATTTATTGGAAACTAAGCGCCGCCTGCGACTCCGTCCGCGCGTAATTAAATGAAAAACTTAATAAGTAGCCTATATGTTCTTTCAGACTATGTTCTACATCTGTGTAAAATTTCATAAAGATCCGTTGAGCCGTTCTGGGATACTTCAAATAAACATCCATCGCATTTTCGCATTTATAATATTAGTAAGAAATAAGATTACAAGTGTGTAAAAGTCCGGTTTTAATTGTTCCTTTCGACTTGATATAAACACCTTGAGATGAGGTTTGTAGGAAACTCGTGTGTATACTTTTAGTTACGCCATTAATATAAGTTTGCATAGAACTATAGTTTTGCATACATGAAAAGCTAACAGTAGTTTGCCAGAGTGCGCGAGAGTGCAGCGACAGCGGTTACGGACGCGTGACCGAATAGTGTTTAGGTACAGTCGCATGCAATGTCGAACACACAATTTAACTATGCTTGTAAAACAAATGTGTTCGTGACAAAGTTAAGAGTTCAATCGTCATTCTTAGTATTTTGTTAGTGGGACAAAGTCAGTTGTGGCGTTCGTCAAAACATTAGTTAAGACTTAATTTTAAAAACATTGTTAAACGAAATTACTAATTAAAAATAGAATCACGCAGTGACGTAATCTGTAATGCCATCAATATTCTTGGCGTCATCTTTACACAAGACCTTGCATGAGTTATAAATATTTCAGTAATGGTTAAATTATAATAGAAAATTTGATTAGCGCTTTCTTCAAACATTTTTTTTAATTTTCTATGTTACGGTGGTGTTAAGGTTTTTAGTTACACATTTCATTCAGATTTCTAAATTATATTCACAATTCAAGAATGAGTATTATAGATCATATACGTTTACTAGATCATTGAGCAGTGGAAACTCAAAGTGTAATCAAATAGGTTGTAAGAAAGGCAACGGTCGCGATCTCTCCGCGCCGGGAACAGGAAGGGGCAAGGTCGGCGCCCAAGCGTTAACTTCCGACACGATGACAACTTCAACCAACCACTCACTTGATATCATTCACTCAATATATGATGCCTAAATCACTCAACCGAATTGTATAGCAGTTATCTTAAAATGTAAATTATAGTTTTTAAAGATTCTTCGAACTTATTATCGTCCCACTTATAAGCCTATCGCCTTACACTTGCCACTTGGAACGTCACTATTATTTGGGATAAGTATAAAAAAATCGTTTAAATGATTGTTTGAGTTTTTTTTGTCGTTCAATTTCTATTATGTACTTAAGTGAACCTACTTGAAGTTAGTAGATTCAATATATAAACGTTAATCATTAAAATACTTTACTTATGTATAAACTTAATCAATTCTTCAAACAGCAGGTGTAACGTAAAATTCATACGATAACGAAAGTGAGAATAATTGGCCGGCTGCTTATAGTATACAGAAAATGAAAAAGGAAAATAAATTGACCTAAGTTGTGAAGTAAGCGATGCGTGTTTATTTTTACGAGTCAACGATCCGCGTAGCAGCGGCGGTACCACGTTTGCCGTAGTTCGTACCCGGTACGCAAACGGAAGCGTACCAAACATAACAAACGTTTCAGTACGACCGGCGGACATTAATAAACTAACGGGATGAATTGCGGCACGTTTCTACGTAACATTATATCTGGTTGGTAAACAATCGCCTAGGGGCAGGTACGTGCCTGTAACGTTAGAACGTCCCTATCCACCTAGTATATGTACAATATATATTGGGCACTGCGTAGTTGTTTCTTTTCAATTGTATGTACAAACATGCCGTAGTGTTAATATGTATTTTGATAGTGTATTCTAATTCTTGTTCAAATATATTTTTGACAGGTAGTGAATGAAAAAGGTTTAATTTTTTTTCCACTCAATTTCAGTTCGTTTGAGATAATTGTAGAGGCACAAATAACAAGGGGCTCTGTGGCCTTTATTGCTGTTTTATACAAGTTAACTGTAATTTTCAGCAACAATTGCATTTCGATTAGTAATTTCAACAAAAAGCTTTTGTTTTAAAGCCAAGTTTCGCAATTGTTTTCGCAATACAATTAGTAACTCGTTTCGTGATTTGTAACAGTTTTACCGTGTCTTAATTCAAAAAGAAATCAATAGATTTTTATAGTGAGCCAATATTGTGTTTATATAGTGTTGAGTGGCGGCCGCGCCGGGCCATATGTTCGTGTTATAAATACAGGCATGCGAGTGTAGGTGCGCCTGCGCATCATACATGCCAGGAGAGCCGATACCGCCCACTTAGAAATATATTCTTTTGCTAAATTCGTCTACATGGATTGATCAATGTTCCATATACATGCGCCTAAATAAGCTAGAGTTTAACTACTGATTAAAACTACGCTCTTTGACCAGAGGAATTAATATTGGTCAAAAGCGTTAAATCAAAAAGAAACTTCTTATGCAGTAGAAAGTCTTGATATAAAATACTTGTATGAAATATATATTGCTAAAGTTAACCGGATTTGTATAGAAATAATTAAAAAATATATATTAGTATGTTATTTATCGTTTAACATATTATATATTTATATAGTGGACTAAGCGGTTGTACTGATAAAATATCACACATTGTATAGTATGTGTGAAATGTTCGCGTCATCAATCAAAGTAAGCGGAAACAAAGTGATCGCCGGTGAGAATTATTGGTCATGCTTTTCCCCTTTGTAAGCCACCATAGGACTGTTATTGCAATTTAGAATCGATATAAAACATATTTGTGCAGTTAAAATGTTTACAATGCACTTGGATTCCCAAATACTTTTATGCAATATTCTGATACACTAACACCTTAAGTTTAAAGGAATTGGGGCTGATACGATTCGTTTGGTTGAATATCTTTGCTAATCTATGATTTTTATTTATAAAAATTGGCGTGCACCGCGGAAGCCAGTATTCACGTATCTTCTTAATATCTATATACATGCAACAAGGTTTTGTTGTCTTAATTATATAAGTGGATTTATTTACCTTTCCGTGAAGTATATAGCATATTTACATCTATGTTTTTTTTTATTCAAGGCCAGTATTGATATTATGCACACTATTGCATAATTTGTTTTTTCATTCACTACTAACTCTAGGGCAGAATGCCGTTTTTATCGAACCCTCGCATCGTGAAAGCCTTGACATTTAAGGAACTATAACAACAACGTTAAAAGAGAATCTACTTTTAGAACAAACGGCGAACGTAATTGAGTTTACTGATACTATTTGTACACTTTCTTTGTGCACTACATTCACACAGACCAAATGAAATTATACTTTTACCTGTGTTGTATTTTACGCCTTATTTCATTACAATGGACATTTCTATATCCAAACAAAACAACATTACTGCGTAGAGATAAGTTAAAACAACCAATAATGAAAAAGCCGTTGATGCAATATTTGCGTGGTTATGTTACCGTCAAATCATGAACGCCGCCATTATATTTTATCTACGAAAGTAGACATGGTTCAAGATTTGCCGGTGACATTATGGCGAAAACCACGAAAGTAACATAAAAATTGTCAATATTAATGTGTGTCTGTCTGTATTCCAGGTGTTGTACTTGATGCGGTGACAGGATGGAGGCGGATCGCGACAAGCGCATGCTGGAGCGCGAGGTACTGCGCAACATGATCCAGCAGTGGAACGCCAATAGGCTTGACCTCTTTGAACTCAGCGAGCCCAATGAGGCAAGTTTTCACTATACCCATATATACTCTGTGGTAACAGTAGGTCTACATGCGCCAGAATGTCCTTATGTCTCCGCATAATGTGGCTTTTCAAGGCTGGTAGAATCAGTAGACCCAGATCTTGCACGAATAGGTTGGCTTGGTTATGGAAATGTATTCGTTACTGAATGTGAGCGTAAAGTTTCCAAATTTCTTTCACGTTCTGTTCTGTTCATCAATGTTATCGATAAAAATGTTGACGAAGATTTCGTAAGCGCCAGGATTGATGTCAATGAGTTGAGTTCATAAAACAATAAGTTGCTTTTTGTGATACTAGAAACTAAAATTTTAAGTATGTATTAGTAAACGTAAACATATTATAAAGTAGACTACATAAACATAGTAAGGCAGTCTAAACAGGTGATCGTCGGCGCGACCTTACAATTGTTCTTCGAAACAATGCAATTGTTTAAGATTTTCGGAAAACTATACGACTGTGCTAGACGTTACCGTTCTCTTTTAAACTAAGTAATCTTAATGTTATGATGTTTAGTGATACGTTTACATGTGTGTACTTCCTTTGCACATAATAAAATGTAACATGCTTATGTATATAGCCAATCCAAATAGTAATACACATAACTCGAAATTATAAATATTTAAATAGTCACAATCCTTAATAAATAATTCTATTAAACTCATCCATTGGTACAAAGTTTTAACAATGGTGCATTGTGCTTTACGAATTTCGCGTCAAGCAAGGCATAAATTGCATTTTTATACCAAAAAAAACCAATAGTTTGAAACTAGACAGATTATTTTTTTGTAAACAAACTAGTTGTTATCAAAGTCCATAGAAAATATTGCGGACCTAATGTATTTAGAACACGTGCTTAGAATTACTAACTTTGTTTATTTCATTGAAATATCTAACATTATGACTCAATGTTTACTTTATGAAACATAGCGAAAGTAAACAAAACAAAGCACGTTGTTTGCGTTTAAAAGCGTTTAAACTCTTATTATTTCAAGTATCAAAAGTAAACTCGCTTGAAATAAAGATGTTGCAAAATGTTTGTTCCTTGGTTTTTCTTGTAAGCGCATCATTTTAAAACAATTTGCTTTGTGAACCCTCCTTATCTTGTGAAGAATGCGCTTGAGATAAAATGTTCCCGTGTGTACACGACTGATATTTATCGTAAAGTTAAAGGTGTAGTTTTAAGCTTGGACTATGACTATGACTCAAATGGAAATGTAAAATAAAAGGCGCTCTCATATTTAATTCAACAAATAATTCATACGTCAATACAATGTACATTATGTGGAAAGGATAGACTTTTCTTTAGTAACTTAAAATAACTAGAAGTTATTTTTTTATAATTTTGCTTTAATATTAACAATAAATTTCCAGAACTTGGAGTTTCACGGAGTGATGCGCTTCTACTTTCAAGACTCCGGCCAGAAGATTGCAACGAAATGCATCCGCGTTGCATCAGATGCTACAGTTAGCGATGTCATAGGTAAAGATATATTAATTTTACACAATACACATAATACTACCTGTCGCCCGCGACTCGCTCCGCGCGCATTACAAAAAAACCTAATTAGTAGCCTATGTGCTTCCAAACTATGTTCTACATCTAGCCCAAATTTCAATGAAATCCGTTCACCCTTTCGGGAGATACCTTTAAACAAACATCCATCCATTAAAACATTCGCATTCAAAATATTAGTAAGATTTATTTATTTAGTTGATCTTCAAATTCGTTAACAAGTGACAGTTTATCTTAAAGACCTATGCCAACTGATTACCGGAATCAAATATATTTAGGTAAACAATACTAAAGTTTAAGATATGTAACCGATTAGTATTTAGTTAAAAGTTAACGTTTATAGCCGATCTAAGTGATAAGTAGGTCGTCTAATGAAGTGCTAAAGAGACTCTGGCTACACTTATTATGTCACGTTATCATCGTTATGGACGAGTCGTACAATTAATTAATCAGACAGTATCAATGTTATCAACTTTAACAAGTGTGATAAGTCTATAATAAATCTACAATTTAGGAATATTAGTAGTAACATAATAATGGAAAATGTTACAATTTCTAAACGATAAAAAAGATTTCTCATAAAAATCTTCACTAAAGAGGCTCTTTTAGTAACCGTGTAACGATTCTGAATGAGTCAGATGATAAAGGAAACGCATTAAAAGAGATAACTACTAAAATTAAATTAATTAATATGATTAACAGAAGCCGCTTAATTAATTAATTCGAACAAAAGGCAATTTGATTTGAGTTGGCTTGTTTTAAACAATGTTTTTTTTGGTCACCAGAAACTTTGATCGAGAAGTTCCGTCCAGACATGCGCATGTTGTCGCTGGGCTCGTACTCTCTGTGGGAGACGCACGGGCCGGACTACGAGCGCCGGCTGGAGCCGCACGAGAAGCCGCTCCTCGTGCAGCTCAACTGGCACACTGATGACCGCGAAGGACGCTTCCTGCTTAAGTGCCTTACTAATAATGAGGTTCGTGTACCTATACAACCTTCTTTGTACCAAGGCACACTAAAAATTTGAAAATTTAAATTACGAGTTAAAGCATAATGGAAAATCGATGTATTATTTTCCCAAATCTATTTATTAATAAAATTAAATGCAAATATATACAAAGATACTGTGTAGTCGAAATGTTAACTAAATTTATTTTAACTTACAGGTTCCTCTGTCTTCCGTCAATGAAAAATCAGATCAGAACTTCAAAAGAAAATTATCAAAACGTGAAAAGAAAGAGCTTAAAAAGAAAGAGAAACTTTCAAGACTAAAGTCAGACACAAATGATGAAAACAGACCAATTGCGGAGAAACTTTACACAGGTATTATTCTTAACTATATACTAATCGCTTAGTTCGACTCTATAATAAGTGGATTGTAAACTATTGTCTCATTTATTTAAAGAGAACAAGTTTTTATACATGTGTAAACAATGGAGTGTTAAAAATAACGGATTTGAAGAAATATTTTTTTTTTAATAGCTATGCTAGATTTATAACCAATACACTGAAACAATTTGTATTATCTGTATCGTTTAACATGTCTACAATGGTAACTTAATTAGCTTCATTATGACTAACAGCAACACTTTCTTTTCGAAACATGTTAGCGTATCTGATTTATCTTTGGTAAGACACCACAGTGACTAGATTTTACGTTCCGTGGCGTTGGGTAACAATATTAAAGTTAAATATTCAATTTTTGTATTTTTGTTTTACTTTTTTCAAACAAAAACAGTTTTTTAATCGTTATTAGTTTTTTTTAATCCCAACAACTTAACGCCAACTTAAGCGTTGAGTATTATTCCTTTCAAACATGCTTGTAAGCCCAAGGTCATCGGAACAACGCATAGTGCCCTCACAGCTCATCCCGGTACACCTAACAAACCTAAAATTGAGTCCTGCGCAACGACTCCTGTGAAGTTAAGAGCCAATAAGGCATATGAAAACCGTAATAACTTTATGTTTGTCCAGAGTTGCCGGAGACGTCGTTCACACGTAGCATCAGCAACCCGGAGGCGGTGATGAGGCGCCGGCGGCAGCAGAAACTGGAGAGGAAGTTGCAACAGTTCCGCTCCAAGGATGGCGGACCTGACACCGGTAATACACAAAAAAAAATATAATCTAAACCATCTTCTTGTTTCATAAAATCTGCTGCTGATGTTTTCTATTTCATGGACGATAAATTATTATTAAGAAAAGATAATTTAGGAAATCGAATTAACTGGACTATTCATATTTCCGGCGAATTAAAAATATATCGTTTTAGTTTCTAACACTATGAACATGTTTACAACCTCCAAGAGTGTTGATGGTTTCCAATAATTTGAACAAATGAGGAGTAATAAGGAAAAAGATTATGTTATAATTTTTTTGTTTGTCAATGTTAGGCGGTACATTGAAAATCTACGGGTCGTCGCTGTGTCCGGACGTGCCGTACAAGACGCTGCTGCTGTCTGTGGGCGACACGGCCGCCGCAGTGGTGCGCGAGATGCTGGAAAAGTACGGCCTCTCAAGACACGAGCCGCACCACTATTGCATTGTACAGGTATATAACACAAACTACTGCCAATCTGTATGTCTGTACACAAGGCCGCTTATGTTGCGGGTAATCTCCGGAACAGCTCCGGACTGATAATAAATAAATGAATAATAGGACTTAAAACAAGAATCCATTTACTTGTTGATTCTTAATACTAGATTAAGTGTTAAAGTGCTTTTAGACAAAAATGATTTTGGCGCCCTTTTGGGTGACATGGTATGTCAAATTATTGTGTTGGTTTGATAACAGGTGGATACAGCAGATAACTCTGAGTACATCCTGGAGGATGACGAGTGCCCGCTCGCCATCGTGATGACGCACCCACATCGCAGTGAGTAATGTTTCAACTTTTACTATCTTTGTATACATTTCTTTTTTAATACTGTAAGGAAGAAAATCCGACACTGTGCCGGTGTACTGGCACAACAGTAGCCTTACTAAAATGTCGACGTTTATGTCCCCTCACTAATCATTCTTGAAAGCGCGCTATTCGCGCCAAAGAATTCTTACTAATAATGTCTAAAAATAAATAAAATACATTGGATCACTATTAAATCGAAGTTTGAGATCATGTGACGAGCTTTTTTATAAAGTCAGTATAGTAATAAGTTTTTAGTAAACAACAGTATTCGTTTATCTTTTTTAGCGCCATCTATCAATGTTTTTATTAGTAAGCAGGTATTCATAAACAAAAGTAGCAAGCATCAGAATAAAGATGGCGCTAGTTATAGAAACATCTTATTAGTTACTAAATTCTCTGAGTTTCAGTAGAAATATTTACCTCAAACATATTGTATTCTCAGATTTTTCAAAGAGAAAATAGAGATAAATACCTAAGTCCACCATCATACCACATACATACAGATAGTTATCCTACAGCCTTCTCCTATTATTTCTTTTATGTATTTTTTGGTTGAAAAATTATTCAGTACGTTTCAACATCTTGAATAGATTATTTTTAGTCACGCCATTGTTATGTCACTTGAATAAGTATGAAATGTGAAAAGCAAATAAAATAAATGGAAGATAGAAATTTGCTTGTCGTTTTGATATCGCGGTATGTGCGCGGCGCGCTGGCTCGGAAATAACACTTCGTTTGCTTTTACAATACTGTCTATATTCTTTCAGTGCATTTTCTATTACGAACATATTTTTGGTTGTCACATTTTGAAAAAGATTTTATTTATAGCTTTGTACTTTTTATTCGATATTATATCGTTTATGTCAAGTTTGTGGCACTCAGCTGGAATCTACGGTTTTGGTCCTTAATCACAGAACTACGAACGTAATCTGCCTTAAAGACGCCCATTTTTCTAGATTGCCGCGTCTATTTTTTTACTTTCTGCTCAAGGGATATCTTAACGAAAGATACACAAAATATCCATTAGCCTTTATGTTATTAAATTGAAAATGGTTATCATAAAATCTTTGTTTGAAATACAATGTGAATATTTCAAGCGAAATCTCATATTGATATGTTAATTTCTAACACCCGGGGGCGAGTTCTACGGATATGAATCGGAATTAAAGTTGTGTCGCATTACTCTCTTAAAAGCGAGGACGCGTCGTATTTGACAAAGCTACTAAGTTAATTTACATGTTAATTAATGTGTATAGATTCTAAACATATAAGTACTAGGATAAGAACTCAACGTAATTAAGGAATTTCTTAATTATAGTAATAATGGGAGACAAACTAAAAGCTCTAAAGAGAGGGCTGTCATCTGTCAAAGTTTTTGTATATCATCTTAGCGATTTAATATTAATATTAGTCTTAAAAATTTGCATATTTTTATTTTTTTTCGTGAAATTTGACAAATATTGCTATGACTACAATTCACATAGTACTCTGTACTTTTTGTATATAAATTAAAGCGTTTTTTGTATATCTATGGTAAATTTAGTGCTTAGTTATTCTCGACCATACTGACATCTATAGTAAACAGCAATTTTTCTTTCCATTTCTATCATTGTTTTAATTTATTTTTAAATGTAGAACACAATGTAATTAAATGAAAATGTTCATGCAGAAATTAAAAATGATAACAAAACGCGCTTTAATCGTTTTTCGGTAACAAATTTGCAATGCGTGTTGTGTTATATCATCGTTAAGATATTTTTCACGAGATGAATAGTTTTATCAAAGAAACAAATGTTTGAAATAAAATAGATCTAGGAATTTTATTAATTTGACTTCTTAACATTTTTGGCTCCTCTAAATGCCCATTACTCAGTAGATGTGGGTCAGCTGCCAGAAAAACTGGCAAATGACTATGCAAACTGGATTATTCCATGTGACATTTGATGTTTGGTATTTCATGGAATGTTTAATTCAAAGTTTTTTTAACACTTGGAGTGTCTAGTCCTATTGTGGATTATTTAATAAGCTTGTTTGCAAGATCTATCGCTACGAATACCCACTGGCAAAATACTATTGTACCTAATTATCGCTTGACATGCCTTATTCAGCTGTCGAATAATTAGGCCATATAGGTAAAAATGTCTCAACCTGACATAATATTAGTTTGGTACACTTTACATAGATATGATCGTCTGCGTTGAGTTAAAACTAAACACCTGTCGTGAATTATTATTATTATTCGGTAATTCGATTGGTAAAATATGTTAATTGCATTAAAGTCCACCTTCTGTTCCTTGATGCATGAATAAAATTGCTTTCCAAAGCATAAAAATGTTAAGGGCGAAAATAAGTTTAGGTGTTTCCACATATGTAAAATGCACCTTTATGATGAGAAAGTTTAGAGGGTACAACAATTGCTATTTATAAGAAAACTACTTCCTAAGACCGCGACATTTTAGACCAAGTTTGACCTACTTGTGGAGAGTTTTATGTAGTACAAAATGATGCGCTTGGACATTATGGGAGTACCTACTGGAGGTGTGCCGTGTGTAGTTGATGTGCGGGGACCGGGCGCGGACAATGCTCGCCTCGCCATTGCCGCGCCGGCAGTCGGCAGTCGGCTGGCAGACGCCGCGCCGCGTGCCCACTGCGCCCGCAGACATGGACTGGGGCATCCGGCGTAAGTTGGCCCTCCAACTCCTCCGCCGCCCGCGCCCCGCGCCACCCGATTGTAAACAAACGCATGTGGCTTGGCTCGGCCGAGCAGTCCGACCGGTGTGCTCGCACATGCCACTCCGCTCGCGGTATTTTTAACCCGTTCCTCGGTTCGATGCCCGTTCGTTCGCCGAATCGATATGCATAACACCGTCCTTGGAAGTTTCTTTACGCGAAATTCCATGTGTTTATAGTTTTAGCATGTTAAGTTACTAGGCGAAAGTTTTGGCGCAAGCTCGTAAGTTACAAACTTGTTTTGATCTAGTTAGGCACGCTCTCATTGGGTCACTTTGGAAGTTGAATTTCTTGATTCGATTTTATTGTCAAGCCGAGTTCACAATGTTCCTTCGAACACTAAATTCAGCAATTTCATTTTGCGAGGGAACACCTTAATAAAAGAACTCTTTATAGCGTCCATAAAGTTGTGTGACAAAGAGCAATTTGACCTTTCGCGTTACGGATCAATTGAGGAGAGCCTTTTAGTGTCTTAATAAGTGGGATCAAACTCCTAGTTTTATTGGCTTAAATATTACGAGAACCAAGAATCTCTATGTTAAATCTTTTTTAATTAAATAACACTGGGGTCTCGTAAACTTCTTGTTTATAACTTTGGCGCCGTCTCCTATATATCCATTAAAAGTATATCGGCAAAGTTCAATCAAGTGTTCAAATGGCATGGAGCAAACAACCCTCTGCAATTTGCTGGCAGGAATTGTGACGAAGATACATGGGTGTTATATTAACCGGGGACCGGGAACAATCCCGAGGGTAATTGATGTGCTTCGTCTCGTCCTCGTGACGTCACCGTCGAGTCGGACAAACCCTTCATGATACTAAAACATGACAACTTCATTTATTTAAATATTCTAAACGAAAACATCATTATGCGACTTTACAAAATTAAAACTTGAAAAACATATTGAATTATGTCGTGTGTGTAATTTAATTGTAGTTTGGAACCGTACGACAGTGTAAAGGTGCAACGATCACAGCATACACTCGAGTCAATGTATTTAGTTGTTAAACGTTCAGTTTAGTTCCTATCTCTATTGCTCCCGTTTACATGAATTTGAAAATTTTATGAGTGAGACCTTAAAATTTTCTTAAAGTGCAAATATTTGCCAAAAGAAAGTATATCCTACTCACAACAAACACATAACACATGTAACTAACAAAACAAAAACGTGATGTGCCTTGAAATTGATTCACGCATTATTTGCGTGAAGAATACGAGAAAGCGCATCTCAAATTTTGCACGACCAGCCTTATGGCCATCGATACCAGCTTATTCAGTGGGCGTAGCGAATCGACGACGCTCCGAGCTTTCGTTGAACCGAATTTGGTTTACAAATGCTTCCAAATTAGTCTCGCAATGGTTTAACGAGTTCGTTGTTATGCTGAGTCGATAAGGTCCAGGACTTAGTGTCGTTTGAGCTTTGATATTTACCTTCTATTCTTTAGTGCTAGGTCATCGATAATACCTAAAAATATATTTACATTTTACTAACGCCGTAATCTTGTAATAATCTTAAATACATTGTCTCAATGACATGATGGTAGTTCAACCAAAATGTTTCTTAAACTGGTTAATTTAACTACAATTACTAAATATAAAACCAATAAAGATTGAAATCGCATATTCAAAAGTTATTCAAACTTACAACGTCCAAGAAAGATACCAAAACAAAGGTTTCGTAGAAGAGTGAATGTGCAATAGAATTGCTCACAACATTTCAAATGACGTAAACACGTCGTGGCCGCTAAAGCGGGATATATCCAGCTATATGGACTTTTCTACTGGCTTAGTTATTTTTAACCTTGTTAACTTTTTATTTACCTTCCCTGGCATGTATGATAGCATGTTTTGTTAATTATAGACTTGACATTAGACGTTTATAGGTAGTGCCATTAGACATTTTTTATAGAACGCGAAAAAACCATATTTGTTTATATATTTATTTAGAGCTACAAGGCTCATTTGGTACACCTAAATTTTCCGCATTAAAATTCGTAACATTGATTTCATATCAATTTTTTCGGATATCCTATAATTAAGTAACTGGGCGGAAACAATCATTTTTTTCTATAAAAAAAATATTTAAAATATGTAGGTAATATCACTCAATACGCAGATACAAAAAAACAGCAAGTTTATAAATATCCATACACTCGGTCTCATACGTTGTTGTCAGTGAAGCGATACGACATCGGTATCGCAAGACTAACGTCGCCGGAAGTGCACGTGGTTCATAAAG